TGGACAATATGGTTCAATACAAAGATATTATCTATTGTAGACTTTCCTCTTCTGAATCCTGCCTGACTTTCCGGTAGCAAACCCAGTCTCTCTGTTTCATCTTCAAGTCTGTTCCTCAAAATCTCAGCATATATCTTATAAGCCGAGCACAGCAAAGATATGCCTCTATAGTTACCAGCCTTATTAGTGTCACCTCTCTTATACAAGGGGACAATTATTGACATTTTCCAGTCCTTGGGTATATATCCCTCTTTCCATATCTGCCTCAATATTTCCACCAGCCCTTTCTTCACTGCACCTTCTCCAAATTTCCAAGCTTCTATTGGTATTCCATCCACCCCTACCGCCTTCTTCATTTTCAACTTTCTAACCGCTTTACCAATTTCCTCTTCTTCCAACTGTCCTTCTATCCTCTCCTCTCGTATACTTATAATTTCTCCTTCTTCTCCTCTGTTAACTCTCCCTTTCTGTGTTTCATTACCTTCCAATAACTCCATGAAGTAGCTTCTCCACACTTCTTTACTTATCTCCGCTTCTTTCCAAGTCCTCTTCTTCCTTTTCCTATTTATAAATCTCCATACTTCCGCGAGATTTCTTAAATTCTTCAACTCTTTTTCTTCTCCTTCCCTCTTCTCTCTTTGCTTCCTCTCTGCGAGCTTTTTTAATTTCCTTCTTTCCTCCATATATTTCTCTTTACCTGTTTTACCTTTTCTCCATTTCTTATAACATATCCTCACCTCCCTCTTCTTTTTATAGCATTGCCTATCCCACCAATCCTTTTGTCCTAACTCTATTTTTCTCTTCGCCACCTTTTTCCTTATCATAGCTACCTTTTTTTTTTGATGACGGAAGGGAAATGCCTTTACGCATACCCCGCCTCGATGGGGTTCGAAGCGGGGTTATGTGGGGCTCACTTCCGGCCGGGGGACTGCCAATTAAAACCTCTCCGGGTGATCTAGGCCCGGGCGTTAGAGAAGGCCTCTCCGGAAACTGGCTGTTGCACTACTTCGGAGAGGCCTTCCGCCTGCGAGCCTGTGACGTGGGGGGGGAGTATTGATCTCCCCCCTCCCCAGAGTCCCCGTTATCTTGGGGACTCCCGCTCGTATTGGGGAGAGGGGGACTACCACCCCTCTCTCCCACTTCCCGCCGTTGGCGTTGCGGGGTAGACGTGGCCGGGCCCGAGTACCCCGCTCGGGTCACCGGCCACCGGGCCCGCGTGTCTCGCGGGCCCTGCGCGTCGGCAGAGGGAGCCGACATGGACCGGAGCCAATAGGCCTCAGGTCCGCTCCCCTCGCCCGCGTCACCCCGTTGCCGGGGAGGGTCTCGTGGGCTGCGAGGGACAGCTGTCCCTGCGCCCATCGACCCCCCCCCTCGTTGGGGCCTCCTGGCGCGGCGCTGCGCCGCGCCTCTGCGGCCGGTGGGCACGTAGGGTTGGCGGGTCCTGCCCGAAGGCACTCCCCGCGTCCCCCCCGGCCCCCGGTCACTCCACCCCGTTGGACGGCTCCCCGGCGTCCGCCAGGGAGTCTCCTCATCCGCCCTCTCCACCCATTTAATCAGGCGGGGGCGGATGGCCTCGACGACGCGCATCCCCGAGGTATCTCCGGGATTGGAGAGGTCTTCTAATCACCTCTCCATCATGCGCCGCCGAGCCTGAAGCCTCATGGCAGCCCTGATCCGCGGGACCAAAACTACGCCCAGCCCACCCATTTCCCTTTCGGCCTCCTCCTTCCGCAGCATCACTGCCTCGCAGAAGGAGGAGACCGCTCTCCAAGACCCCCCGCCCTCGAGCATCGTCGCAATGACGCCAGAAAGCGAGAGGTCGCCACTCCCTAAATGTTGAACAAGGACACGATGCCCCCCTCTGCCCACGCTGGACAAATCTCCAGCGTGTGCTGCGCCGTGTCCTCGTCCCAATCACAGTGGTGGCAGCGTGCGTCCTCCTCGCGACCGATACGACACAGGTAGGAGCCGAAGCACCCATGGCCCGTAAACACCTGTGCCGTACGGTATGACACCTCGCCATCCGCCCTCTCCACCCATTTAATCAGGCGGGGGCGGATGGCCTCGACGACGCGCATCCCCGAGGTATCTCCGGGATTGGAGAGGTCTTCTAATCACCTCTCCATCATGCGCCGCCGAGCCTGAAGCCTCATGGCAGCCCTGATCCGCGGGACCAAAACTACGCCCAGCCCACCCATACGCCCGTACACTTCCGCGTACATCTGGGCGTACAGCTCGATGGGCGGCAGTCCCGCCAGGACAGAGGCCGCCGCATGCGACACCATCCGGTATCCGCGGATGATCCTGATGGCAACCCGCCTAAATATTCGGCGCAGCAACATCCTGCTGCGCCTACTTGCCATCAGGGCATCCGCCCAAACTGGTGACCCATAAAGGGCCACCGCCCGGACGATCGTCCCATACAGACGGCGCACCTTCCCATCCGGACCACCCAAGTTGGGCAGGAGGCGGCTCAGAGAGTGAGCCACTGCCTCCACTTTAGGGGCCAGACGCTGGAAGTGCCCGTTGAAGCTCCAGGTGTCGTCCAGGTAGAAACCCAAATACTTCAACTGGATCCCCACCCGGACGGAGGTGCCATCCACTACGACATAGACCGCATCTGGGGGGGCTCCGTGCCTACGTTTCCGCCCCCCCCCCCCCGACGGAGGAAGAGCGCCTCAGACTTATGAGGCGCCACCTCCAGACCCATGCCGTGGATCGCGCGGACGACGCACGCTACCGCCACGTTGGCCGCTCCAACGGCTTCCCCCAGCTATCTCCCCTGGCCAGCACTATAGTGTCATCGGCATAGCCGACGACGCTGCAACCGGGGGGAGGGCAGTGCCAATGACCTTGTTGTACGCGAGGTTCCACAGTGTTGGGCCCAAGACTGACCCCTGTGGAACCCCGCAGTACATTCCCCTTCTGCACAGGAGTACACGGTTATCCGTGTACTCCAGCCGCCTGTCCCGGAAGTAAGCTTCCTGGATCCCTACCAGGTAGGGGGGGGGGCAAAGTTGACGGCGGCCTCCCTCACCCTGTTCCAGGGCAAGGTGTTAAACGGGTTGCGGATATCGAGAGATACCGCAACGACCACCCCGCCCTCCTCCATGATGGACTCCGCGAGGGATCTGACGCGAAAGATTGCATCGATTGTTGATCTTCCCTCACGGAATCCAAATTGATCCTGGTGGAGATCCATTCCCTTCCGGGACAGGTGCCGGACGAGGCGGTCTACCAGCAAGCGTTCCAACAGCTTCCCCGCCTCGTCCAGCAAGCATATCGGCCTATAGGCAGAAGGGGAGTTCCCTGGCCTGCCCCCCTTTGGGATGAGGACCAATCGGGCTCTCACCCAAGCCGGGGGGAAATACCCTTGCCTGAGGCAGCTCGTAAAGATCTGCCTCAGGCGCTCGGACAGTTAGTCCAAGGCCAGAACCCAGACCTGGCCGGGGATACCGTCGGGGCCCGGGGCCTTATTGCCCCGCAGCCTTAACCGGCGGATTACCCCGGCCATCTCGTCCCTCGTCACCTCCAAGTCCTCGGTCCGTGGATCGGTGACCTCCTGGCCGCCGCTCGAAAACGGGGGACCCTCCGAAGGAAAGAGGGCCCCCAGGATTTCATCGAGGACCTGGGGTTCAAGGGACTACGTCACCGGGGGCGCCCATGATCTCAGCCTGTTAAGCACAAGCCTATAAGGGCGCTCCCATGGGTCTGAGTTCAGGGAGTGGAGTAACTCGTCCCACTCCCCCTGGCCTTGGCCCGTCTGATCGCCGCGCTGAGGGCGTTCCGTGCGACTCGGAACCCCTCATACGCTATAGCCGTCCTCTCGGCGTCGTTACGACGCCGAGCCCGGGTGAAGCGGCGTCTGGCGGCTATCGAGGAGCGCCGTAATTCGGCTATCTCCTACCCCGGTCCCCTACCCCCGGCTGCACGCTCCACTCTCACTGGAGCGTCCAGCATCTCCACCGACTTCACCCGAGGCACCCCTCGCCTTTTGCGGGGGGATTTCTCGGCCGAGCCAAGGAGTGCCAATCGAAGGGAGGGCTTGGCGCGTCTCACCGCGTCAAGCTCCCTCTGAGCTCGCAGACCTCCTTTTGGAGGTCCGCGTTGCGGTCTCCGAGGGACTTGATTTCCCTGCGGAGAGCCGCGAGCTCTCCCTCTCCCTCACTTCGCTGGGCCCGTTCGGCCAAGGCGCTAGACGCCACCCTCACAAGGGCAGCGGCCTCCCTCAGCTTCCTCTGAAGCGAGCTTTTTAAATTTCCGGAGCAAGCGGCTATCCGATCTATAGCCGCCGCCTGCTCCAGACTACGCGCCGCGATATCCGGGGTCGGTGTTTGCCCCAGCTCGTCTGCGCATTGGGCCTCATAGGCCCTCAGGTCCCTACTCGGCGGGGGGATGGGAGCACTCTCCGATAGAGCCTTCTTGGCCCCCCGCTCCCTTTCCTCCTCCTTTCGGAGGGCGGCCTCTTCTTCGCGCCTCTCGCGCAGGCCCACGAACTTGCCCGTGGTGGACGGCCTCCCTCTCCCCCGCTTTTCCGGGAGGTCATCCTCCCCCTTAGCGTTCTCCTTATTGGGAGACGCATACTCCTCGGTGTCCTCGCTGGCTAGCGAGGCTCTCGAGGAGGAGGCGGGGGTAGAACGTTTGCTATGCCCCCGTGATGAACTCCCCGTGTCCGTCTCGTTCGGACGAGTGAGGCTTGTGCCCCGACTCGTCCCATCCCGATTATAGGGGTGCGCCCTCGCGGCAGAGACCGACCGTGACCGGGACTTTGACTTCGTAGAGGCCGGGCCCGGCCGGTCGATCCTCCGCGCGACCACCCTCACCTCCTTATCCACGGCGATAGCCCTCTCGCCGGGGGTGCTTGTCGGCAACCCCCCCGGTGGCCCGTCGTTCGATGACGACGAGGGGGGAACCGGGACTGTATCCCCCCACGCCGGTCGCTGTGTGGTCTGAAACCCACTGCGGCAGTTTTTTATCTTTGCTTGTACTCATCATTTTGTATCAAGGAAAGATGGTTTAATTTCGGTGTTTTCCTTCACCTAAGCCAGCTGGCTTCACCACGCCTGACGAGCCTGGCCTGTCCGGGATTTTTTACCGAGATTACCTACCTCTCCTCCGCTCTCGACTCAAACTTCCCGGAGGAACATTCATATAACCCACCCCACTCTACCCACAAAAACCCCAATACCCACCCACCAATCCCGAAAAAAACCCCACACCCATACACCCCCCAATACCCCACAATCCCCCACAAAACCCCGAAAAAACCCCCCAATAACCCCCCACATACCCCCATACCAAAATACAAGATTCACACAAAAAATATAAAAATAAAATACATCCATATCTGAGTCGAGACGTTGGTGCACTCTTAGACCCCTTCTAAACAAGCGAAGGGGAGCCTCTCCACCACGTCAAGGTGGTGCACCATCGGAGGGGTTATCATAGCTACCTGTACCATGCCTTTAAGCTTGTCCCATTTCTCTTCAATTGTTCCTTGGCTATTCTCCTCCCATGTTAACTTTTCCACATTTTCTTTATACCTTTGTACAGATTCCTCATCCCAGTATATCTTCCAGATCTCCTCCTCCTCTTCTTTATGCTTTCCTTCTACATATGTTCTTCCTCTACCTCTTTCTTCTATCTTCAACGTTATCGGTAAGTGATCTGAGTTCACTCTGTCATCAACCCTGAAATCCTCTATTCTATCTATCGCATTTTCACTACAAAAAACATAATCAATTACTGTACAACCTCTAGCACCTACATACGTAAACTCTCCTTCCCAGTCACCATCTGTCATACCATTTAACACATGCCATCC